TGGCGCCTTAGCCACTTGAGCCACAGGCGCCAAGCCCACACATACATTCTTATACACTCACACACATAGACACACACTGACCCACACATATACATGACCAGAGTGGGAAAGGGATGGAATGGATACATACTCTGCACATAAATGAAGTGTAGGAACCTCTGGTCCCTCAGTACCACCTTTCTGAGATGAGGAGCTCTCAGGAGAGGGAGACCTATACACCTGCCCACTGGCTATGGGACCAAGTAGAATACCTCAGAGCAGGATGGATGCCCTGGATTCACTATCCTTGCCCTCAGTCCTTTCACCCCGCCCAGGACCAGGCACCCCCAACCCCAAACCCTGCCTAGGCCTCCTCACTCCATCCATCCACACCCCACTGCAGTCCTTTATCTTTCCAGAGGGCAGGTCAGCTCACGCCCACTTCCACTAGCTCTGCCCATAACCTGAGCTGGGTAAGAAGGTACCACAGCCTTCATAACCTCACTTCCCCACTCTCCTGATACCCCACATTTAACCCTGAAAGTCAAGTTTACTGGTCATCAGATCTACATGAACCTTCTAGCTGTGGGGTCTCTGTAGCACTGGTCCCTAGGCCTGGGGTCCCTCTCTCCTCCATGTGGCCCTCATCTGTTTTTTCAGGCCCACATATGAGTTCTACCTCCATTGTCACTGGTGGGCAGTGGGACTTAGGTAGGTAAGTCATTTAACCTTTCTCAGTTTCAGTTTCCTTGTCTATAAAAAGGGATATAATATCTACAACAATTTGGGCTCTTATAATAATGTATGAAAAGTGTTGAGCATGAGCTCAGCACATAAAAGGCCTCAGTAGGCCTCTTAATGAAACTACATAATAACATGTCACTGGCTGGGAAGTACGAATCACACCTTTTTCACATTTGCATGACCACTACCCGGGCTATACACACCAGCGCATAGCACATGCTTGGTAAGCTGGTAATTAAGGAAGAAACACAGGAACCAACAAACAAATGCCTGTGTGGAGAGATCAGTGAAGGCTGGAAGAGGGTTCTTGGAGGGAGAGAAGGTGGGGTTAGGCTAGGCAGAGGAAATGGACTTTATGGTGGGGAAACGAGCATGGGCACAGGATGGAGAGAGAAAAGATAAGGTGCATGTGGCCAGACCAGGGGGCAGGGATGTAGAAAGCTCTCCTCTCCCAGACTGAGACTGGACCTGGCCCCTGCCCTGTGAATCTTTCCTGGGAAGCAGAGGTGATCAGGGGCAGCTTGGCAGTTCTGGCACACCTGGCAGCTCAGCAGGCCACCCTGTACACTCAGGCCTGGTCTGGCCTCAACCTTCTGGGTGGCTGGGGAAGACACCAAGCCTTGGGACACCTTCAGGGCTGCTGGGTGTCTGCAGCAGTTACAGCATGGCAGGAATGGCTCAGCCCAGACTGTAATTGTGAGACCAGGAAGATAGGCAGTGCCAGCCCCCAGGCAGCCCAGCACCCAGAGAGCCAGAGTGCTGCCTGGCAAATGCAGCCGGGGTTTCTGGGCACCTGGCCTCCATTTCTCTTTCCAGGCTGATACTCAGAGTCCAATCCTTGTCCTCCCTGCTCACTCAAGGGAAGGCTGGGAGGCAGGGAGATATGTGGCAGCTTAGAAACCCCACCATGGTGTGGCTTCCCACTAGGCCCTAATGCTCCTGCCACATGGGTGGAACTTGTCAAGCCCAGGTGTCCCCAGCTCCCAGCAGTGATGACTTAAAAATGGCCCCCACTCCCACCCCCAAAAGAAGTGCAGTGAAGCAAAGTGTGGGAGGAGGCTGGAGGACTCTCAGAGGGTGTTAGTGATGAGAAGAGAGGGCCTGGGAAAAGGCGAGACCACCTCCTCTGTGCTGGACATTGGTACATGTTCATATGAATTATTTTAATGAAATCCCTACTCTAAGGCTTTGGGAAAGGCCACATTGATCATTTTTATAGAGAAGAAGCAGGTGGTTCAAAGACGTTAAGTAACTTTTCCCAAGGCCAGATAGCTGCTTTGAGGCAGGTAAAGCTGGTATTTGAACCCAGGGGCTGCTCGTTCCAAAGCTTTGCCATTAAACACTGTGCTCCTCACTTTTCAGTTGCTTCCATCTCAAGGAGTGATGCTTTTCTGTGTGTAATTTAATGGCACTCTGCATAGCAAGAACCTCCCTGACAAAGGCCCACCTGGGGGCTTCCTCCCCACCCCCCACAAGTGGAAAAGAGAAGGCAGCTCCAGTCAGAGAAGACAGGGCCCTTGAGCCATCCCTGCCTTGCAACTGGAAGTCAGGTCTGGGTTTACAACCCCATGCACTCATTAGAGAAGATGGAGGAAGGGCAGCAGGAAACATTCAAGGAAGTGGGCAGTGAGCCTGGGATCTCTCCCCTGGCAGCCTCTTGGGAGTGGGCAGGGCTGGAGTGCAGTGGTCATGGGCTGCAGTGAGCACTCAGACTTGTTCCCCAGCCCCTGGGAAGCTTTCTCCATGGCTAGCCATTCTTCCCACTGGCTAGGATTGGCACTACCCTATGCCATTTCTCCCCCACTGTAGGTGGAAGCCCAGGGTAGGGAGGAGGAAAGAAAAGAAGAAACAGTGACCTGGTCTCAGGTCTTTTTTGCCTCTTCTACCCTAAAGCCCACCAAGGTCTTCCAAGTCTGAATGGGGTAACATTTAGTGAGGCACATATGTATGTTTCTGAGACCATGGTCAACATGCCCAAGCCTAAGGAAGGGGCCAGGAACCAGCAAAGTGGGGAGAAGACCTGGGCACGTGTGTAGCTGTGAATTTATGAGGAGTCAGTGAGATCACCGTACCCACCCACCAGTAATAGGCCCTGTGACAGACAGAGGAGGCATGTGGCTGCTTACCCTTTCCCCTCCCCAGGCCCCTAGACTAGGTCTTACTGCCCAGTGCCTAGGACAGCCACAGCCTGGAAGGAACCCGGGGTGGGCTGCAGACCGGGGGTTGGGAGCCCGTCTGTTCTGGTTCCTCAGGGGCCCTTTGGCCTGGAACATTTGGTGGAGCCCATTAAAATTAAAAAGCCAAGTGGCTGGTGGCTCTGAATGCCAGCTCGTTTTCCCTGGCATGGTGGGTCCTGTTTAAGGGAACCAGCTGGCATTAATGGCACACAACTCATCATGAACAGCAGCTAGCGATCAGAAAAATCGGAGCTAATAATCGGGTTTGAGAAAGATAATGAGATATGGAACAATCACTGCTGAGGGTCCCCCAGGGTCTGTTTTAACAGCCTCCAAATAAACTACAAAATAGAAATTAACCAAACAGGAGCTCCATTTTGACAGAGGGGGAAAACAAACAGGGTGTGGATTTTGCACAAGAATTTCTTGCATGGTCAGCCATGGGGGATCCTGGGATAGGCACGACCCCAGGCCCTATGGGCATCAGCAACAGCCCAAGAGAGGCCATGGCCTTCTCTGACCACTCGTTTCCAGGCTCTGGCCACTAGGCTAGTGATTTTGCCATGAGCAAAATGCACCTATCCTGGAGCTGATAGGGGGCCAGGGGAGAGGTGGAAGGCCAGCATTCTGAGACTGCACATGGGCTGGTAGCTCCATGACACAGAATCTTTAGTGTCATGAGCTATGTGACTGGTGGCTGCATCCTTAAGTACCAAGGACTCTCCTGCCACCAGCAGCCTAATTTCTTCAAGGCCAGCAAGGAGACATTGGCTGAGGCTGGAGCAATACCTATATCCCTCTCCCACCTGGGCCGCACCCTGCAACTCCAGCCTGCACAACCTACCCTGGCAGATGGCTCTGTTTCCATGGGTTCAGGGCACTCCACCTTTACATACCCCCAACAAAGATTATTATACTCCTCCTCACACACGCCCTCCCTCCTCACCCATTCCCAGCTCAGCAACTCATGCCAGAGATCTCAGTACCTTCCTGGACAGGGGCCTCTCCTGGCCCACATCTAACCATTGCTCCTGGTTCTACCTTTTGGATATCTTGATTGTGGTTCTTACTGCTGCCTGCGCCCACCACTCAGCACACATCACCTCTTTCCTAGATGACTACCCACCTCCTAAACAAGCCCCTGCTTCCACTCCTATGCCCTCCAACC